AAAATACTTACGCTAAAGGCACTCTGCATTAGGCTCTACAGAGGCACTTAATGAGCTAATAGATACTTTATCTTCTCTAATATCTGAAATTCCCGGAATACTTTTATTCAAAGGCCTATTTAATACGAACTGGTGGTTACAGTTCATATCCTAGCACAAAAACACTCTCAACATAGTACCATCATCTCAATTTGTATTTCTTTCCAGACTCCAAATAAAGGCTAGCACATTAGCTAAAAGGCTTAACTACATTATCTTCCCCGGTAGGTAAAGGAAATGGCTAAGGTGGTAAGAGTTTGCAAACCAAAGGCAACATTAAGACGTATACTTCCAATACTCTGCTTGTCACAAGGAATCTAACACTAGCTCTTTCAAATACTTAGCCATCTGTCTCACCAGCTTCTAGGCTTTAAGTGGTTAAAAACAAGTAGTTTTATTTTCAATTGAAAATTAATGTCAAAATTCGAAATTAAAAATAGAATTGGTAAAAGAGCAGGTTGATGTATTTAAAAATTCATTCCTCACCACCTGATCATGACACTTATGCACCTTAATGTCAAATAAGTGTGCCCTTTGATTTTTCTAAAAAATTCTTTCAACTCTACAAAGGTCTGCTGTTAAATGTGGATCATGATCACAATGACTGGTTACTTTTATTAAAACAATTACAGAGATAAAAATTGAGGACTAAGTACTTACACCACTGGAAAGGAACTGAGCATACTTTACATGAGGCAGATCAATATCCTTTCAGGGATGATCAGCGTTATTTACCATTCTGTAGAATGAAGACAGAAAATTGAGAAATAATCACCTTAGTCAAGTGTTGAATAAAAAATTTAATTATATAACTCAAGGATATTAAGGGTTAACGTTAGCTAATCATATTTTAAAAACTTCTTTTATAATTTTGAAATAAAATGTTTAGAGCAAAGTTTTTAAAAGTAAAAAAAAAAAATAGCATTGATAGCTTTCCAAATAATCCACCTAGAAAAAGTAATGAAAACTCTACCCGTAGAAGTGCATTAATGTACATAGTCACCATTCAATAAAAAAAAAAAAAAAAGAAAAGAAAAGAAAAGAAAATCCTACCCCTAAGGTTTAATCTGTTATCAGAAACCAAAGAAACAGATTTAAACATGCAATGGAACATAAATACTACGGTGAGATTCAAAATAACTTTTTGAAATAACATATGTGCATTTATATAGAATCCTATAAAAAAGAAACACACCCTAGCATGATTAAAAAAATGTAATGGGGTGATGCAGCACTTCACAAACTATCAAGTGGTAAGGGATATTACTGTGAGACTTCATCTACCTCTGGAAATAAACACTCACTAAGACTCTACTAGTCTTCTTCTACCTCTAACTATTCAGATGCAAATAGGACTTGTTAGTCTTTCTCTACTTCCCATAGATCTAGAGACATTTATTAAGCAAAGAATAGGATTTGCAGTGTTTCTTCAGGTTCTGTGAAACATTCCTTCCACCTGCTATAGAAGATTTATAGCAGATGACCCTCCAACCTCCTACAAGGCCTCCAGCAGATGGTCTTTTACACCACATCTCTACTTACTGAGCTATGGCTGGCATGCCCACCACCTTCTGAACCACACACACATCACCTCCTGAATGGCACCAGAATGTTCAACAAACAGGACTCAACCCCATATAAAAGAACTACCTTACCCTCAGTTGAGACTATCACCATTTCCCATTTTCAGGGCAGTCCATCTGCTCTCCATAAATCTTTGCTATTAACTCTACTAGGCCTGGCTCTTTGCCGCACCTTTCCACCTTTTGACATCTAACACTACCAATTTAAAAAAGAGATGAATATCCGTGTTGCATTTAGGTTACTGAACACAGTGTAAATAAATAATGGAGTCTAGTATGTCTATCTTTTGATTTGCATTCTACTGCTTTATTCACTATTCAGCCATTTTGACCCTTTTCAATTCAGACGTAGATCTTTACAAAAATGGTATCTACTACTCAACGTTTAGGAGAAAAAGAGCATGTAACTACTCAATCTATTAGAAGCAACTATTTCCATTAACTCTAAATTAAGATTATAAATTAGATAAAAGTTTAAAGTGTTGATGCCCAAAACTGACATTAAAATACCTATCCAGTATTGAATTATATTAAGGACAACCAAAGCACTGAACAACAACTATGATATTGAGAAAGATATAGGGTAATTTTAGAAACCTTTCACATAAGTATACTAAGGAGATACGTGACTGACAGGGGATCTTAACCTCTCTTCTGCAAGCATGAGGACCATGCTGCCACTGAATCAGAGAATGTAGGAAGTAATCACCAAAGACCGTCATTTTACAGATGAGGAAACTGAGATTGAGTCACTGATATGAACTTGTGTAACGAGGCATAAATGAATTATGTCAGGTATAAATGGACTTAAAATATTCTACTAAAATGATATAGTCTAAGAGCAGAAGACCAAGCAAGGAAGATCCTATGAATTCTCTATACTCACTTTCACAGAACTGTCTTGGCACAGAAGACACCCTTGTTTTTCTTTTTCTTTTTTTTTTTTTTTTGAGACAGAGCCTCAATCTGTCCCCTTGGGTAGAGTGCTGTGGCATCATAGCTCACAGCGACCTCCAGCTCCTGGGCTCAAGCGATTCTCCTGCCTCCACCTCCCAAGTAGCTGGGACTACAGGCGCCTGCCACAACGCCCGGCTATTTTTTGGTTGCAGCCATCATTGTTGTTTGGTGGGCCTGGGCTGGATTCCAACCCACCAGCTCAGGTGTATGTGGCTGCCGCCTTAGCTGCTTGAGCCCCTGGTGCTAAGTAAGCCCAGATCTTGTTTTTCTAAGAGATATACTAAAAATAAATTTTTTTAACGTTTAAGAACTAAATAGGTGTATTAAAACCACATCCATTAGAATGGTTATTAAAAAGAAAAACAGAAAATAAATGATTTGAAAGTTCTGTGTTTTGTCCCTTTCCTAGTAATAGAATGAAATCCCATGCCTTCCCTTCAGTAAGTACCACAATGTAGATGCTACCTGCCCATCTGCCCAGGAGTCACTTACTTAGTCCTGGTTCTGATACCAGGAATGAACAAAGGAAAACAGTGAGCACTTTCATGTGACAGCATAATGCCCAGTGTCTCACAGGTTATCCGTCTTAATTTCCACACCAACCCTGTGCAATGATTCATACTGTCCCCATTTGACAGATGAAGGTTTAAACAGGGGGTCACACTGGTGAAATGATTTCTTCAAGTTTGCAAATCAAGCAAATGTGTTTGATACTATTATATTATACTTCCTCTCCTTGCTATGTGTCCTTAGCTCTATTAAATAAGACATCAAAAAATTTATTTTTGGCCAGGTGTGGTAGCTCACAACTGTAATCCCAGCACTTTGAGAGACTGAGGAAAGATCACTTCAGAGCTTGAGGGTAGCAATTCAAAACCATCCTGGGCAACAAAGCAAGACTCCATCTTTATCAAAAATTTAAAACTTAGGTGTGGTGGTGGCGGCATGCCTATAGTTCCAGCTACTAGGGAGGCTGAGGTAGCAGGATCAGTTGAGCTCAATAGTTTGAGGTTACAGTGATCTATGATGGTGACACTGTATTCTAGCCTGCCACCAAGCAAGACTTATCTCTTAAATTTTTTTTTATATATAAAGCAGTGGTTCTCAACCTTCCTAATGCTGTGAGCCTTTCATACAGTTGCTATGGGTCGCAACCCACACATTTGCTGCTGACATAAAGTGAGGTTCAGCAATGAAGAAGCCTCCTGTCAGTTAGTACTGTTAACCTTTGAAGAAAAAACATAATCAGGCTCGGCGAATGTGGCTCAAGTGGCTAAGGTTGTTGTGAGCTGTGATGCCACGGCACTCTACCCAGGTGGACAGCTTGAGGCTCCATCTCAAAAAAAAAAAAAGAAAAAATATAATCAAGAAACTCCATTAGAGGCAGTGCCAATAGCACAGTGGTTACGGTGCCGACCACATGCACCAAGGGTTGGCAGGTTCGAACTGGCCCAGGCCAGCTAATCAATGACAACTGCAACAAAAAAACAGCCAGGCATTGTGGCGGGTGCCTATGTTCCCAGCTACTTGGGAGGCTGAGGCAAGGGAATTGCTTAAGCCAGTGGTTCTCAACCTTCCTAATGCTGCCATGTATTTTCATTGTTACAAAGGGGTCACAACCCACAGGTTGAGGACCCCTGGCTTAAGCCCAAAGAGTTTGAGGTTGCTGTGAGCTGAGATGATACAGTACTCTACAGAGGGCAATATAGTGAGACTGTTTCAAAAAAAAAAA